TTGGATCATTGCTAACCAGAATCTCAACCAGGTGTAAAATACATAAGCAAACTGCGTGAAAAACAAATGAGTGAGCACTGATATACAGTTTTTATGGGTTATTCCTTGCCAATTCAAAACAAGGTATGAACCTTACTATTTATTTTATAGTTCTCTGTTACTTTTATTATTTTATTCATAATTTCCTAACTCTTAACGGTAACGGAGTATTTTTATTTTTTATTTATTTATATTTTTATCTATTTATTTTTAAATTTCTTTTTAGTTTCTTAGTTTCACTCCAACCAATCTTCTCTTCAATTATCAAAACTAGTGTTCGCCCAGTGGTCGAAATTCGACCATAGCTATTAAAAATTTGAGGAAAAAATATAATTAAATATAAAATAAAGTAAATAAATAAAGAGTAAATCACGATTGAAAAATCCTCATTTATTAATACAAACAAAATTTCAATTTCAATTAAAATAGACTCAAAAAATTTATGTGTTATTATCACAATAAATTAATGTTATGATTAAGCAAGTAAAAAATGAATTTAAATTAGCAATTTAAACTCACTTTAAATCCATTTTTATTCAGAACTTCTATGTAAATAATGTTCTTTTTGAATGTTCTGTTATTGTTTAGTGCATAGCCATGCCCATTGCCAATGAAGATATAAATTTCAATATTTTAAATGAACGTGCTCTAATTGCTGCCACATATAATTGTCCATGCGAAATTACTTGACGTCACAATAATACACACATTTTTCCAAAACTTTTATCCTGCAATTTGATTATGGTCATAGCAAATGCAGCTATTAATAGGAACGTTGTTCTTTGAAAGTCGAATATAAGTATAGTGTCAGAAAATGTTAAATTAGTTTTTGGAACTAAAATTCTTTAATTTAAAATAGTTCCCGTTAATACTTCAGTCTCATTCCTGTTCCAATAACTAATGCTTGTGCAGTATTTAAGTTAACAATGAGTATAACTATAGAATATATTTATAAATTTAATTTATGAGGTATCATTCCACTAACATTACATGATATCATCTCTTCAAATAATAGAACCTAAGTAAATGAACCTAAGTAAATGAAAAGTTTTCGATTGATCAAAAAACAAATAAAGGAAATCGAATTTTCAAAAGAAAAAGTACTAAATGTTTAAAATGATATATCTCTGCAACAAATAGTCCGATTTCGATGATTTTTTTTTTATTTTGTAGGAAATAAAGAAAGCTTTCAAATAAATATTGGTATTATGGAAAAATGTGTACTTTTTGAGTTATTCGCAAATAAAATACTGTAATATATCATAATAAAAATATATGCAGCTTGTTTTCGGGTAAGTGTGTTATATACATAAATTATAAAGGTTTCAAGGAGAAGACTTTAACCAAGTTTCATTGAAATAGTTGAAGCCGTATTGGCGCTACAGTATAAATTGAATCACGTTTTTCGGCCGCCATTTCGAAAGGAAAAGCAAGAAGATATTGATACGTATACAAAAAACCTTCTAAATATTATTGCGTTTTGTCAAAATTTAAAAGAAATCGGTGAAGAACTTTCGGAGATAAGCCGTTTTGTTCAAACTACCATTTATATTTTTATTCACATACTATTTAATATTTTTATTTATTGATAACACTAAAGCTCGCCAATATCTATTAAACAAAAAAAGAAGGAAGAAAATCGGTTGGTTAATAGAGGAGTAAACGGGGCTGAACCGATTTGTGTTTGCCTATTTATATAATGATAATCATAATATTTGCATTTTCCTGAAAAACAAACATAAAAACAGACCAGAATAACTGACTAACTTATATTTTTTGGATTTTTAAAAAATCAATAGGCCACATTCTTGCTGTCTACCATGATAAACAAATCCTGTTAATTGATATAATAAAAATATGTTAGGTTTATATATATATATATATATAGAGAGAGAGAGAGAGGATTAGTGGAGAGTATTGTAGTAAGAGGCATAGTAGTACTAGGGATAATATGGATAATACCTTGAGTTAATGGATATGGATGGCAAAGTCATGTTAGGCCATTAATTGTTAATTCCTCACCGTAGGCCTATATAGTCAATTTATATTTATTTTTCCATCTTTGATAGACCATCCATTTTTCTTTTTTTTTTTTTTTTTTTTTAGTAACTTTATGTTTTAATTTAATTTTAAAGATAAAATAAAAAAAAAAACTGTCACTAGCGTCTCACATATCAATATAAGACATCGTACGTGACAGTTTTATTTTTCACTTTTAATTTAGACTTCAAAAAATACAATTAAAATATAAGAAATATATATATATATATATATATATATATATATATATATATATATATATATATATATATATATATAATTCCAAAGAATTATTTATCGAAATCATTTTAATTCATGGCACTTGGATGATATCTTACTTTAAGAATAATGATAATTGACTACACTGGCATAGCGAATTCAATAAAATTTTTAGAGTCATTTTCGATAAAAGAGATAAATGTGAAACGGTTCATTGTTTCAAATAAAAAAAAAATAAAATAAAGGTATTATAGTGAAGCTAATATTAAAAATTTGCCATTTAAACATCCCTGTTAGAGAACATCAATAAGAATAAAACCTACATTATATTAAAAACTGCCTACTTTTACACTGATAGTAATTAATTTAATCAAATTCGTTAGAACCGTTTTCGAGAAAATCGTAAAAATGGTTTTAATCGTTGATATTAAGTTCCTCAGCTTATTAGCCTATCTCTATCTTTCCCTGATTTTAATAATTTTACTGTCATGTTACTACTTAAGTATTTGCTTAATTAATGTCAGGGCTTAATTATGTCTCGTCAGAATAATATTTTTGAATATGTTAATAAGGTCTGAGGGATAAATCCTCTTTCGCTCTCACCTTTTCTAGATTTTTAAAAAACACTTTCTTTAACCTCTCAGTCATGTCAGTAATACTGACAACTACTGGGTTTGCTGTCGGAAAGTAGATTACATTATGGAGTAAGTCATTGATAGACGTGAGGGAGATGAATGCCCAGCGGCATTCCTTCCTTAATTAATTTTAATAATTATTTTTAAGCAAGGAGATTCCTCATCCAGCTTATTTTGAGCCTCCTTCGGTTGTTATTTTTCCATATGAATCGGTGAGTATGTGTTCCTGTGTAAGTTATTGGTAAATATTCTTTAGTGTGTTCTTACGTTGTCGTTAAGTGTTAATATCTTCTGATCTTTATTTAGAGGAATGCTGCTGACGTACCTGAGAGTTTTGTTTTGTATTCTTCAAAGTTTATAGTTAACGTATGTAAGTTCTTTTGGCTCTCTCGTATATATGTGAAACGTTGGTCCAAATGGGCTAATTAAGTATAAATAATTTATGTTTAATATTTAATTTCGGATTTTTTTTAAAGGAGTGAATATAATAGTTTTAGTCTTAGTTTTACAGTGTTTATTTTGTTCTTAATATGTGGGTCTCGTGTTAACTTTATCTGTCTTGATTTTGATTGTCGATGGCACGTTTCACGTCGAAGAGTGAAAGGTAATGTTTTGTGAATTATCTTAGTTGATTCGAATTATTCAGAGTTCATTGAAGACCTTATAATTATACTATACAACTGAAGACCAGTTGATTACAAAATTTTCGAAATTTTTTTTTAAAATTTATTCTGTATTACAACAATCTGTCACATGGGCCTTAGTTATAGTGAGGAAGGATAATATTCACACTATATGTACAAAAATATAAAATAAATAGAAGGAAAATAACAATAAATAATAATCAAAAAGTATATACAATGAAATAAATAAAATAAACTATAAATAAGAAAATTAAAACTAAGCAAAAACACATGCATACCTACATACACTATTTACAATTAGGCGAGGGAACTCCGAGGAAGGCTTGCCCTATCAACTATGGAGGGAAAAGCTGGACTCCAGGAGAATCCTGCGCTACTCTCTCAACCGCATCACTGGTTACTAAAGCCATCGGAGATTGATCGAGAGAACTTTAGCCACATACACTCAAAATTAAACGGTATTTTCAACCTTATCAAAGGAATTCTAAACTCTGAAAAATTATGATGATATGTAAAAAAAAAAAAAAATATTACTCAAAATTAGAGGGAAAATATAAGAAATATAAATTTTGATCTTGAAGATTTTTGCCACAAAGTGAATAACGATTCAGTATCTTAATGATATTAAAATTGGTAAAATCGAATCTTAATTCTGCTCTAGAAGTTAAGGATTTTTTTCTATTTCTATGCTTAATTTATTTACAATACTTACGATAATAATTACTATACGTAACATGCAACTTTGTATCTACAAAAAATCTTAAAAATGGTGTCTTTTCTAATATAATAATTAATTTAATATGAGGTACTGAAAGTTCATGAAATCCATTTGCTTGCCACTTGAATCTTAAGATAATTTAATCACAAAATGGAGAAAAAATGTGACCTACATTGGGTTTGGCCTATATAATATCGGTATTTTGATATGTTGGAGGTGGAGGTCACGCCAAAGGGCTCAATATTTTTGTAGGCCATCCCTTTTCTAGATTTGTTGATTAATTTACACTGCAATTTAAGTAGAAAACAAATATCTGTTCATGAGTTTTTAGTACCTTATTAAATTTGCTATGTTTACCGTCTTCCGATTGAGAACGTCCCATTTTCGAAAATTTTCATAAATAAAAAAGTCGCAATAAGATGACGCCCTTTTTGGAAGGTTTAGATGGATGATTTGATAAATAGGGGTCTGTACCCTGGAATTTGTGCTTAGTCTATGGTCGCCGATCAATAGGATAGAAAACTACGATAATTCGACTTTAGAACTAGTTCAAATCATAGAATTAGAGACAGACATGATGACGAAAATTCAGCTGTGGAAGGAGGGGGGGGGGGAGGGCTGATGAGACAGTGCCTTGTTTCACAATTGTGCGTTTGAGTTCTCAAAGCGGCTCTGTAATCAGATCCCTCAACAGTCGCCTCATCAATGCACATAGTACGAATTTCCTTTGTTGCCAATTCCGGGAAGACAAGGCGACGTCGATGCCGTACTGATGGTATACTTAATGGTGATAAAGGTAATGACATAGCTAACCTGTGTTAATCAATTCCTCACATTTATCTATGAAATCCAATTTCCTTTGATACATATTGATTGATGAAATTCTTGAAGGTATTTGGCTCAATACAAGCTCAGTACAGAGATGATTAATTAAATAAAAATAACTTCCAATATATATATATATATAAGAAACAGGTCAGTCAATATCTCATGACATGAAGGCAAGGAGGTTAAAATGGGCAGGGCATGTAGCTCATAGCAATCCATCAGGACGCCTTTACACGACAACGAATGCCAGAGTAGTGGGCAAGAGACCACATGCGGGGGCCAAAAACCACATGGATAGATAGGATAAACAAAGATACGGCTGATCAGCAGCCCAGCAAACTGGAAAGCAGTAGCCCAAAATAGACAGAGGTGGAGAAGGCTGGTTCAGGCGGCCAAAGATCTACAAGGTCTGTAGAGCCAACTGAAAAAAAAGAATATATATATATATATATATATATATATATATATATATATATATATATATATATATATATTCACGTGGACCACTGACATATCAAGCTAGACCAGATCTTCATCCTGAAACAAATAATTAAAAAACGATGAACGATGGGAAGTAGCTCAGGATATCTTTGTCGATTTCAAAGCAGCCTATGATTCTGTGGACAGAAAATGTCTTTAGAAAATCATGGCTGAATTATGAGTTCCCGGTATGTTAGTGAAATCGAAAAAGGAGTGCACAAATGACGCTAAATGTCGAGTTCTAAAATAGTGTCTGCAGTCTTCAAAGTTCGGACGGACTTACTGCAGGAAGATGTCCTTTCGAAGTAACCAAGATGATATTGAGAAACTCACTAAGACTCTGATAAGTGAAGCAGAGAAAATTAACTTACAAGTAAAAGAAGAAAAAAACAAAATATATGATAATAAGCCAAAAAAATTCACCTAGATAACAGGATCTGCTGAAATGGAGATAGTTTCCGAGAGTAGAAAAATTCAAATACATAGATTCCACAATTACCTCATCGAATGATCATCGGTCGGAAAAAGATCAGCGTATGATAAGGAAAAATAGAACAGAGCTTTTTTTCTCCCTTTCAAAGGTACCTTAAGATTGGGTAATTTTGGGACTGGGTGGGTAACTTTGGGACAGCGGGTAAAATTTAGTTTATGGTGATTCCTTGGTGGATACATTGTGTCTGTTCAGTCAGCATGGACAGCGCATGTACTGCGCTACTACCTTGCGGCACACTACTCTTGAGGCACAAGCGAAAGTTTCTTGAAAACGAGAATTTTGAAAAAAAAAAGTAAAGGAAATAAATAAAACCTAACTGCACAACGAGTGTAGTGAACTAGGGTACTCAAAAATGTAGTAGAGCAGTACATGCCTGCACAAAGCGCGTTTTCGCAGACTGAACATACACAGTGTATCCACCACGGAATCACCAAAAACTGAATTTCTCCCGCTGTCCCAAATTTACCCACCCGACTGGGTACATGGGACCATATTATGGTATTGAAAAACCAAAAAATCTCAAATTAAGTCCCTGAAAGTTAGTATGAAAATTTTAGTAAAGATTCCTTTGTTTTATTGTCATATACTAATATGCTTTAATTAGGCAAAGTATTTTTGATAGGAAACTTTAAAGTTTTTGTAAGTAGATCTGTTTAGCTATACCATATAACTGTTTACAGTACACCCATATCGACTTAAGTAAGTATATTTATGTGTTTAGATTCTGTCTCTGTTCTGGTTTTGACGATTTGAAAAAGTGAGTAAAGTATTTCGAGTCGTCTATTATGGCTCTTTCATTTCATTTTCATAATTTTCTGATTGGATTTCTTTTTTCAGTAGTAAAGGGCTGGAAGTAATACTTTAATAATAAATCATGGAATGGTAAAAATGTGCTTTAAGTTTTATTAATATCTTAAATTAATTTTTTTTTCTCTTTTTCTTCAGCCTGCATTGTTTAGGATCTTCGTTTCGATCTAATTTCTTCCTCATAATTCCTTCTTTTCTTTTCATAAAGAAGTTTAATTATTAAAGCTTTCCATCCTTTGATAAACGGACCCTTCTCGGATTCAATTTTTAGCTCGCCTCGTCTTTAATTACATGGATCTGTCTTATATAAGAAGGATACTGATAAAACAAGCCCCTTAAAGTAATCTTCGGAGATAATCACGCGCAGGACGCTTGTATAGCTGGTTTAGTGCAAAAGCGCGCTGAAGGGACTTCTTTAATGTCTACCATCACAGCCAGTATTTTCATAGAAATACGTTGAATTTTTATTAGATTTGTTTTTATTAAAGATAAGGAATATTCGCTTTTCATCCTCGTTTAGTTATCAGAAAAAGAAAAAAAAAGGTTTATCTAGATTTTTATTAAGACTTCAAGAATTTATTCATTAAGGAGATATTAATCTAGGAACGCTTCGTTTGAATATGCTATTTAAATGGAGTTTGAAATATATTTATTATTTCTGATAACTAGAGTTTGAAATGGATAATTATTTTTTTTCAAAATCATGTAATAATTATTATTTTATTTTTATTAATTTTTTGCTATAAAATAATTATTTGCGTCTTTCAACTTTTAGTTAACAATCAGCTAATGTACTGGAAATACATCATAAAAATGACATTTCAGGCATGGAAAAGAAAAGTGCTGAGCAGCTTCTCATCAGTAATTTGTTTCAATTAGTTAGTTTGCTTAAGGAAGGAGATCTCTCATCCAACGGCTTTTTACTCTCCTCCACATGTTCTGAGGTATGTCAGCTGTGGCCATGTCTCTTATAAGTCTGTTATTATGTCCATTCAAATTTGTGTAAAATCGTTGATAAAGGTTCGTTATATGTTGGTCAACTGTTGGAAGAAAGTAGAAGTCAGTATAGAGTTTTGTTAGTCACGTACCAATGTGCTTTTGTTATGAGTCGCAATAATTTTGATTGGAACGTTTGAAGTTTTTGTAGGTGGGTCTTTTTAGCGATACTGTATATTTGTGATGAATACGTCCATATGGGTTTAAGTAAGTATGTATATGTATTCAGTTTCTGTTTTAGTTTTGAAGATTTGGAAAAAAGAGAGTAAAGTAGTTTGAGTCGTTTGTTAAGTGCCTTACGTTTCATTTTAACATGCGGGCCCCATGTGATAAATGATACGTTATATGGTCAACTATTGGAAGGTGGAGGTCAGTATGTAGAGTTCTGTTAGTCACGTACCAAGGTGCTAAATTTGGTTTTTAATTTAAAAATCATTCCTGATTTATAAATAGAAATTTAAATCTATCTTTGATATTTATTTATTCGATTAAAAATAATGATCACTCACTGAGGGGATTCGGGTTTACATAAATAATAATGATTAAATTATGATAAAAAAAATAATTTGATCAGAAAATCTTCAGCGCCTCCAATTCAAATCCTCCATTCAATCACGTCACGCCAGATACCGTACTTCTTACCTCTATCCTCCTCCTCACCGAAATGCTGCGTTTGACAAATCCTTTGCAATTCAAGCTCTCTCCTTTTGGAATTCTATCCCTTCCGGTATCCGACATGCACAATCAGTTTCCTAATTTAAATCTCTCCTTTTTTAGCATCTACTTCTTTCATCCTCCAGAAACCATGTTGTTTACTTATGTTATTTTATTTTCCTTAGTTTAGTCTACATATATGCTTTTGTTTTGTTCTATTTTCTTCCTCTATATTTTTATTTTTAATTACCTATTATTTCTTAAATATTTAATTTAATGTATGGCCACACAGGCATTTTTTCAATACTTATACTTTCTTCAAATGGGATAACAGTCCCAGGATAATAAAAATATATTTATTTCATTTCATTTCAAAAATAAAAATCAACTTTTACATAAAAATAATATGTATGTATATGTTATTAGCTGCCTGCACTATATACATGTATTTATATCTTCTTTTTGCGAGCTTAAATTTCGCATGAATTTAAGAGGTTTAAAGAGGAAATAAAGAGTTGCTAATAGTTGATTACAATATTCTCCACCTACAACTCCCAATTTTTTTCCAGATTGAAGAACAATGCCTTCTATTGACAACTGTATGAATACAGTTTCCAAAAAAATATTTTTAAATTCCTATCATTCTACAGCACTCTTGAGCTCTGTATGTTTCATATCTTTCTAATAACAGTTTTGTGAAGAATAAGATGAACATTTATCTTAATAGTTAAAAAAAGATTTTAGAATTTTTCTGAGATATGTTCATTACTGGTAGCGACCCCCTGTCCATTACCAGAACAATTGAAGTTCGGTGTGTCCGTTACTAGTGAATAAAGATTTTTTTTTTAAATGATGATTATATCTGCATAACTCAACATTTTTTTTTTCAATTTTATAGTGTTAAGTAGAAAAAGGAGACTCTAGAAGTTCTAAATGTCCAATGGAGAAGTTTATAACTATAATAATTTCGGCTGCAGAAGCCAAAAAAGACGAAAAATTCTTTAGCCATGCCCATCATTGGTGCGCTTACCCTACCCTATTCTATGTAGGACGCTCCATTTCTTTTTTAGGGGCATTGGATGCTATAGGTGAGCACTTCAATTTTAGGTACCTGGGCAAGTGAGGTTTCGTTTTCTAGGTATTTTATCCTGAATCGAATGGACGTAAAACCAAGTCAATAAAACAAATTAACACCCTTTTTTTTTTTACCTCAAGTGACTGTACCGTTTTAAGAATGATGAAAATGATTCGAAATGCAGGGAGTTAAACGCAGGCCATATTAAAATAGCTCTTCCTCTACGATAGCCCTTTGAACCCCTAATCGCCATTGGAACGTGAAATGTTTTTAATTTATTCCAATTAGGTTAAATTCCCCCTGAAAAGGTTTTATACAGCCAGCACTGGCTCTCTCAAAAAGCTCACAAAGCAATCAAGGCCCCTCATATTTCTCGTTATTCGCTCCATCAGATGATTGATTTGCTGGGTGGTTAAATGAAATAAACAATAAAACATAACATTTCAACTTTCACGTTGCTTGTAATAAACATCCTTCTTTTTCAAAGGATTATAGTGGAAATCATTTAAAAAAAACAAAAAACGTTAGGCTTCATCAAATGTTAATTTATATATTTTTATTAACTCCATGGAATTAAAAAATCTTCAATTTCGGATAAAGACCAATGAAATACTGCTTACAAAAACTGATCAATCAATATATCATGGTATGAAGGCAAGGAGGTTAAGATGGGCGGAACATGCAGCTTGGAACGTGGAAGGCCAAATAACAGTTAAATAGTATTTAGAATGGACCCAACCAACAAAGATGCCGAAGAGCTGCACGCAGATAACTGGAAAGAAATTGCTCAAGCAGAG